TGAGTCCATCCTAATTTAATATTGATCTAAATAAACCACTTATGCTGCCACTAAATCATATACCTCAAAGTCAAATAGGAATTATTTAAAAAGTATTACAAGGGCATAAGTAAAGCTTTCCATGGAGATGTTCATGAATACACTGTTGGTAACTAGAAACAACCTACAATGACAGATTAAGAGACTGAATAAACTGTGGTATGTGTGACAATGGAATATTACAAAACCTTAAAAATGATGTGGATTTGATGCTGAATGAAATAACAGAAAGTGTATGTGTTGACACAAGCACAGAAAAAAGTACATACACACTAAATTGTTCATTGTGATTCTTTCCAGGTGATAGACTTTTATTTTGCCCTTTTTTGCTTATCTATATTTTCTCATTTTTCTCAATGAGCATGTAGTACCTGTGAATTCAAAATAATTGGTTTGACTTTGAGACATATTACATAACGTATTCTTAGGTTTATTGTTTGAAAAATTTGTGCCTTATTCCATTTCAACTGAAATTATCTGAGGTTCGTCTTCATTTACTTCAAGTACTCTGTTGTCAAATTGTTAAAGAGAGGAAGAACAACTGTCCTGAATACAAGAGAATTAGATAAGTTTGGATTACATTACCAAGAATTGATCACTAGAAAGTAGAGTTTAGTTTTCCTTTTCTCAATCAATTTGCTTGTCTTCCATTTTCAAAGCATGCTGATCCCATTTTCGAGGAAGAACTGCTTCCAGTTACTTTATAATCTCAAAGTCCCAGCAGCTGGCTTTAAAAATACAGTAAAAGGTGCACTCATTTTACAGTCAATTTCCAATGACGTTTACCAGAATCTGGCTGTAGAAGACTGGATCCATGACCACATGACTCTAGACAACAAGCCAGTTCTGTTCTTTTGGAGAAATTCTCCCTCCGTTGTAATTGGTCGGCATCAGAACCCTTGGCAGGAGTGTAACTTGAATCTGATGAGAGAAGAAGGTGTAAAACTGGCTCGGAGAAGAAGTGGAGGAGGAACAGTCTACCATGATATGGGTAATATCAATTTGACTTTTTTCACAACCAAAAAAAAGTACGATCGGATGGAAAATCTCAAATTACTTGTGAGAGCTCTGAATGCCATCCAACCCCAGCTGGATGTGCAGCCCACCAAAAGATTTGACCTTCTTCTTGATGGACAATTTAAAATCTCAGGAACAGCTTCTAAGATTGGCCGGATGACCGCTTATCACCATTGCACTCTGTTATGTAGTACTGATAGGACCCTCTTGTCGTCTTTGCTCAAGAGCCCTTACCAAGGGATCAGGAGCAACGCCACTGCCAGCATACCTTCCTCGGTAAGAAATCTTTTGGAAAAAGATCCCACTCTGACCTGTGAAGTGCTGATAAATGCTATTGCTGTAGAGTATGCTGCTTATCATCAGACTGATAATCACATTATCCTAATAAACCCAAAAGATGAGACACAGTTCCCTGGAATAAATAGCAAAGCTAAAGAACTACAAACCTGGGAGTGGATCTATGGTAAAACTCCAAAGTTCAGTGTAAACACTTCCTTTAATGTGTCACATGGACAGTCACACCTGGAAATAAAAGTGTTCCTAGACATAAAGAATGGGAGAATTGAAATCTGTAACATTGAAGCACCTGATCATTGGCTGCCACTGGAAATACGTGACAAATTAAATTCAAGTTTTATTGGCAGTAAGTTCTGCCCGGCTGAAGTAACTATGCTAACAAATATATTACATAGAACATGTGCAGAAGACGGTGAACTACAGAGTAAATGGAATATTCTCTGTGAAAAAATTAAGGGAATAATGTGATTCCAAGTAGATTTCTTAATATTGACATTTCACTGAAAAAAAAAATTTTTTTCAATGTACATTGTATGTCTCTCAAAATAAAAAAGGCCTAGACTCTTTCAGTAACTAACTCCCATTTGAAAGCATCTCCCACCTTTCCTTGTCTGTATTTGCAATTGACTTCTACCATACTCTGTCTCTTCCTGCACTGATTTTAATAACTGGCACTGTTGCCACCTTGGGAATATATGTGCACCATAGAGGACACTCTAACCTCAGAGTTCATTCTTTCTTTTACCTCTATGGAATATAACCCAGGCTTCTCGCCACCTCTGATACCTTAAACTCTGGAATTCACCCTTTTAGTCATATTTTCTTACCCTTCCATCCTCTCCCACTAAATCAAGCCTTGACTTTTCCAAGCCCTTGACTCT